TATGGGAGTCAGTCCACTGGGTGCAAATCCCTGCTCTGCCCACTGTGCAAACCTGAGCCAGTTTCTTCACCTCTCTGCACCTCCATTTCTCTCTACCTCCCTCAGAGAACTGTTGTGGGAACTAAATGAACTATTCTGGGACTGTGACCTGGAAAACAGCAGGCGCGGCCTGTGATAATGAAATCAATACACTAAGTGAACAGATGCACATGGTCTGTGCTCAGTCAATAACTTCCATTTAATAACATTTCAATCTTTCTTTATAAATAACTGTTTTTAAGTGATTTTTATTAGGTAATTTTTAAAGACAGTAAACCACTAATCTGTGGCCTTTGAGGTCTGGCTTCTTTCACTCAACATGATGTTTTTGAGGCTCTTCCATGTCATAGTGTGCATGAGAACGTCATTCCTTTTCACAGCCAATCAATGTTCCTTTACGGATAGACCACATGTTCTTTATCCATTCACCCCCTAATAGACATTGAGGTTGTTTGCATTTTTCACTCTTGTGAATCGCACTGCTATGAACATTCATGCAGGAGTTTAAAGCATAGCAGCGGTTTCCAGGGACTGGGGGAAGGGGAGACAGGGAGTGACTGCTAATAGGTGTTGGGTTTCCTTTAGACGTTCTGAGAAGGTTCTGGAACTAGGTGGAAGTGGTGGTTGCAGAACATTGAATGTATTTAATGCCACTGAATTGTTATAAGGAGAAAATAGTCAATTTTATGTTCTGTGTATTTTACCACAGTAAAAAACAATAGGAAAATGTAATGAAAACCCTATTAAGTGCACTCTTGTCCTAGATCAAGCCCTGACAGTTTGAACACAAGACACAATCAGACGTTTGGTGACTGGAAGCTGTTTTCCCCAAATGTCATCAATTTCCAGAGTTCCTTGGCCTCCCTCCTTTGGAGTCCCTTGTTTCTTTCCCTCACTTCTGGGTCAGTACCTGACCTCGGTTTCCAGGGTGGTAGCTCCAAAAGCCCCACTCAGTCCAGATACTCTGAGATATTGCAGAGGGTGAGTCAAAGTCAATGATGTAGAAACAAGAACCTCCAAGAAAAGACTGAATGGGTGAGACATGATCTAGAGAGTACAGTCAGCATGCTCTGTCTGACAGGATCTCAGTTCTTCCCCTTCTCCAACTGGCAAACACCTGTTCATCTTTGAGACTCAATTTAAATGTCACCTGCACAGTGCAGCCTTTCTGGACATCTCTTCCCCAAATAGATTTAGTTACTCATTCCTGTGTTCTTCCAAACTTCTGAGTGAGTTTGAAGGACTTAGCATCTTAACTTTTTCATGACCAATATAATAA